GAAATATATATATATATATATATATATATATATATCTTAAATATTTTAACCATATTTAAGATATTTAATTTGTTATAATATTAAAATTTCATTTGTTATATATATTTACAGTATATATTTATTTTAATAACAATTTATTATATTTAAATGTCAGAATAAAATTGTAATTAGCGACGAAATTTCACCGACATATTCTGAAATGTCTATAATAAGAGAATTCCAATTTCGATGTGTAGAAATGGGTTTAACAGCCTGATATTTAATGGAAAGAGTTAATTGCTCTTAAATGTTTCTCAAAGTTTCCCTTCTCGCCATTTAAACGCCACGCCATGATTTTAAGTTTGTACTACATTTTCTGTAAATGTTACTGGAAATAGTTTAGGCGTTTATTCAAATTGAAATAGCATACGTGCAAAGAGTTTCCGGTGCTTGACTGACTGCATGCATTTTATTGCTTTAAAGGCAATAAAATGTTTTTAACATAAACGTTTAATATTTTATCGTAAAACTGGATTACTTGTAATAAATATTTAGACATAATAGAAAAATGTCGTCAAAGTAGTGCGTTACTAAATGGTTTTTAATTTCATAATTTGTAATAATGAACTGAAAGTTTGTTTTAATAATATTCACCCATAGCTTATTTGAGATTCCCAATGATGATGTTTAGTAAAAAGTGTTACAAACAATTGCTTGCTTCAGTATTGTTTCCCGTTTCATTAAATGTAGCGCAGAGCTTGGATTAAAATTTTAAAGTGTTAATAATGTTTGGTTATTCTAATTTTATCTCAAGTCATATGTGAAGATAGAAAATTATTCATATGTCAACAAGAAACATATGTCAAGATAGAAAATTATTAAATAATTTCGAAAGGAAGAATTTAATTATAAAATTAAAAAATTTGATTAATCTATTTTAGAATATGAGCAATTATTACGAAATTGTTATCATTGTTCGGTGCACAAAATTAAATGCACCTCACTAAACAACTTTTGATCTAATGATCTGATCTTCACGCATTAAGGCTCAATCTTAATGTTTCAGGGAGGTGCGGAGGATATTTTTAGAATCAGACACAAAAACGTACCTTCCCTAAATAAAAAAGACCGTTTTTCTATAGATTTGGATTGCTGACCCTTAAATTATAAGGGGTAGATGCAATCTTAGAAATATGGTCAGGAAATCGGTCCAAAGTTTGAACCCGTTTAAGTTAATTTTGCTTCTTGCGTATATACCAAGAACTTTTTATATGTATTGAAAATATTTTGCACCAAATTATAAAATTTGTTTGTCCCAAAATGATTTCACGCAAAAAATACCTTTTCGTAAGGATTTATCATTTTTTTATTATTTTATTTAATAATAGTTGAAGAAATTTTTTCTCAATAGATTTTTCCCCCCTAAGTCACTTGATAAGTTATCAAACGAATGATTTTTTAAAAAAAAAAATTCTTTCGGTGGCGAAAAAAGTATTATGCTCTGAACTATAATCAATTTAGCTGAAATATGTCTTTAAAATTTCACATTTATGACATGCATTAGAATGATAACATATTCAAACAGTTTGAAAAATCTAGTTTCAAGAATTTTCTGTTTAAATTTACACAGAAAAAAGCTGTAGAGCTGTGCAAAACTTGCAAGAATGACTTATCTACATTTAATTATTATTCAAAAACAAAAAATTCATTAAAAAAATTAAATATATGTAAGCAATGTCACATTGTCAAATTATAGTCCTAAATTGTGTTTTGGGAAAAAAATGCTGGAAAGACACAGTTATAATAAAAGATTCTCTTTGAAAAGCTAAAATTAAAAATTATAAGATGAATGCAACCATCTGACGTCGGAATAATTATAAAATTTATAAGACTTGTTTTGAAAGGTAATTATCTCATTGGAATTTCAGGTCAGTTTCTTTTCCACAAGTCCAGAGCTCAGCAACAAACAGCGATTTGAATACTTCTTGAGAACTGTTCCATCAGATACAAATCAGGCAGATGCAATGGTGCAAATAATTCACAGGTTGAATTGGACATATGTTTCGATTCTGTATGAAGAGTCTACTTATGGAATACAGGTAAAATAAGTTATAGAATTATGTCATACGGTAATCATGTCATAGGATCTAAACTGTCATGGGCTCTAAACTGAGAATGACTAAGTTTCTTTTATGCAAAATTCAGCCCTATACGCTTAGCCTACTACGCCGGGGTGGGCACATTTTAAATAGGTCATTAGATGGATTTTTAAAAATATGGAACACAAATATAATTATTTCGATCTTACATTAATATCTTGATATTTATCTATTTTAAAATATTTTGTATCTCATTTTAATTTGCAATATTTCTTGCATCCATTCATTAAACAGCACCAGTTGTGAACCAAAACAAATGTATCGGGCATTTTTGCTTGTTCAAATTCTAAATCTGCAACAAAAAACTCGTCCTGATGCGCATCACTTCAAATCTGCAGCCCTTTTCCTTGCTTTTTAGATACTCGGTATGTTTTCTTAGTATGTTCTCTTATGAAATTTTCATTATAATAAGTTAATAATTATTTTTTAAATAAATAATGTAAGAAATATTATTTTAAGATTTTTTTTAAAAAATCTGTTAAAACTGGTCAGTTAGATACTTAAAAAATAAATTCTTAAAGAACTATTATTGTGCTTTTTGCTTGAGTTATAAACTTAATTATTTAAAAAAATGAAAAAAAATATATATATATATACAACTAATTGACTTCGAATTAGTTAGAGAGGATAATCGTTATACAACGCAGCCAAAATTAGTGAGGCCATTTACCCCCAATCTAGCATGTCACAGTCAGTGGTTCGATGTAGAGCACTATAAGTTGTGAAACTACTCTAGTCTCGCTACTTTTTTTACGTAGTTTGTAGCGTATTGTTCTACTTTCTTAAAAAAAAAGTAGTGTAGTGAGTAGTGCGATACAAGAAAACAGTAGTGATTCCAGACAACTACTTTTGACGTTAGTTAAGAATAGTAATACGGCTCCAACGTAACTAATTTTTCGAATTTTACAGTTACAAATCTTCACGGGTCCATCAATGAAAATAATCCTATGGCTGCAGCTCATAGAAATTGCGTATTTAAAATCACGTGTAACTAATATATAAACAAAGCCATTATAAAAAGTATATAATGAATCACTTCAGTCACACTTTCACACGTGACTTATGAAACATGGATGTTATTCCATAGGATGGTCGCGTATTTTTGATGTATTTAATTTCTTAGTGGAAATAAAAGAGCATTAAACAATCGAAAAATTGCAAGTCTTTGATAGTTTCGCCTTTCTTAAATTAATGATTCTCTGTCGGAAAAGGCATAAAAAGTGGAAGGTTAGATGAACAACATAGGAAAAAAAATGTATGAGAATTATAAATTGATTCATGTAAATATGAATAAATAATTCTTAACTTTTCCTTTATATTTAATGTAGGTCAATGTCTTCATTTGAACACATGTGTCAATTAAGTAACCCAGCAAAGTTCGTCTCCTTAAAGTAATTAAGTTGCTACCATTCCAAAGTAGTTTGTAGCCGCTACATTAAAAAAAAAAAGTCTTTGTAGTTGTAGTTAACTACAAGGGGTGATCAAATGAAAAGGTACGAAACGACGTAAAAACGTAACAGTTAAATATTTGCATATTCCGCCATGGGAGAACGTAGCGAGACATATCGGGATGCGATTGGAGTCTCTGACGGGGGTCGGAGCATGCACGGGCACCCACATGCACAAGAGAGAGCAGAGGCTCTTATCAAAAGCAGCGGCAGTCCGTATGAGGAACAGAAACTCGAGCACAGAAAAACCATTAACTCCTATGTGTACTGTGAGACACTCCGACGCCTACGCAGGTCCATCAAGAACAAAAGACCAGGGGCTGCTCACGGAGGGTGTGGTTCTGCTCCATGATACCACGCGTCCACACGTCTCCAGAGTCACACGCTAGCCAAGTTCAAGTGGGAGACGTTGGACCATCCGCCCTACTGTCCGGACAGGTCATCCTGCGATTTCCATGTGTTTGGTTCACTGAAGAAACGCCTGAAAGAGAAGCGCTTCACCTTGGACGACGTACTCAAGGACGCTGTGAAGGACTGGCTCTCGTCTCTGCCACAGGAATTCTGGGAACAAGGAATCCTGCAGCTTGTTCATCAGTGGGATCGTTGTGCTCAGGCCTATGGTGTATATTTTGAATAAAGTCTACATTTGTACCCACCGTGTAGTTTCGTACCTTTTCATTTGATCACCCCTTGTACATTTACAACTAAGTCGTTGTTGTAAACTACAAAAATAATGTAGTTTTTCTGACCGCTGGTCACAGTATTTTTAAAATAAAATTAGAAAACCAAAGTGCGTGTGGGAGAGACATTAGACTTGTGAATACAAATTGAGATTTACAAATCACATAATATTTCATTTTCTTTTAGAATTACTTCTTTCACCTTATCCTTGAACACGATCTTTAACAAATGCTCCTTAATCCACTTTCTTAGACGATCCTATGCGTCGTTGACATCTCAATATGAATAAATCTCATAAAGTCTCACTCAATATTTCAGACAAATTAAGAAAATATTCATGAATTATCATCGATTTAAACTCATGAATTAAGAAATAACTATTACATTGTTTACACTAAAAAGGATTAGATAATGAGGGAATGAATTGTTTTAGGCTTTTACTGTTTTGGAAGAACTCTTGTCCAAAGGGGAAATTTGCATTGCAGTTAAAGAACGATTAACCAAAGACTCTGGAGTAGCTGGAGATTCATATTACGATAGTATTGTCCAAAAATTGATGGCTAAACCAAGTGCAAAGGGTAAGTCATTATTTATGAGTTTGCCTTCAGTGAATCTTTCCTTCGCCTATAAAGCAGCATTTCATCAAAAGGCCGAGGAGGAGGTCCTGTTCCTTAAGCACCCATAAGTTATCTTTCTCATACATCCGCGGTGTAGGGAGCCTCTATTTTTGATATGGTTTTATGACAGAAAATAGGAGAAAATGACAGCTATGACAATGGATGGTCATCGAGATAACCCTCGGATGAATTAGGAAGATATACTGTGTTCGAAGTTGATTTCTTAAAAGTCTTCCAGCGTGTGTGTTTTATTTTGGTTATAATTTTGCAGGTCTTAGGTCACTTGAGATATTCTATTGCCAATCCTTATGGTTTAAAGTAGTTTTTTTGTCAAAGTAACGCATGAGAATATAAAAAAAAATTCTTTTCGAAAAGTGGCTGAATTGATTCTGAAAAAAAAAAATTGTAATTTTAATATTTTTTTCCGTATTGAGAAAGATATTTTTAATTTACAATGTATTTGTTAATTAGATATAACATTTAATGAATAGATAATAAAGTTTTTATAATTATTTTTCTTTATTTTATGCAAAAGTACAATGTTTACTTTTTAACGAAAACTTATATGTAAAAAATACAAGTGTAATATAAATATAAAACTTATATAATCTTAGGATATTGAAGTGATCTTGTTTGCCGAGAATGGCCAGACGTCATTTCACCTTTCGATATCTCGTCTATGGAATAAATTACCGATATTTTAGCCACTTTATTAAATAGAAATGCACAAAAATAAATGATTATATCATAGTTATTGTACCATGTTTTATTTAAAATTGCACTTTAAATCGTAGATGTTTATTCTATTGCAGCTTAACATCATGTTTAAGAAAATATAAAGGGGTTATCACGTTAAGTAAAGATTGTTGTATTTCTCCAGCTATAGGTATAACCATAAGTGATGTGTGAAGTATAGTTATAACTGAACATTTGACTTCAGGCTAATGGGACCCATAACAAATTCAATTCAGCATTTTATAGTGCAGTTGTTTTTTTTTATCTTAGTTTATTGTTCAATTTTTTGTTGCTTTTAATAAGTATCTTGTAATCTAAGCAAAACAATTTACGATATTTATATTATTTTGCAGGAGTTATAATTTTTGGATCAGATCAAGAGGTCGCAGGTGTAATGCGAGCAGTTAGGCGAAACAACTGCACTGGCGCATTCTCATGGATTGGTAGTGACGGTTGGAGTGCAAGATCTTTGGTGTTCGATGGAAACGAGCAACAAGTAGAGGGGACCATTTCAGTACAGCCACGGGCACATCCCGTAAAAGGGTTTGATCAGTATTTTCAGCGGCTGACGGTGGAAAACAATAAAAGAAATCCTTGGTTCACGGAATTCTGGGAACACTTTTTCAGCTGCAGGTGGCCGGGCAGTTTAAAAACTCCTTACAATGATGCTTACAGTCGTAATTGCTCTGGTAATGAAACTATATCAATTGAAAATGGCTACGAAGCGGAGAAGCAGTTACAGTTTGTGAGTGACTCAGTTCTAGCTTTCGCTTATGCTTTGAAAAACCTTCATGCTGATTTTTGTGAGGGTAGACCAGGGCTTTGTCCAAATATGAATCCTATTGACGGCGCTGTACTACTTAGTTATCTAAAGAACGTAAAATTCCAAGGTAAGAATGGTATAAATAAAAATTTATAAATAGAATGAAAATGTTATTGCTTTCAGTCTACTAAAAATTTATAAACAGAGCGAAAATGCTATTGCTTTTAATTTAATATGTGTAAAATACACTGTCTGGTCACTTTATTATGATCTGGTATTTTAATGGAAGCTGATTTTATGAAATTATTCTTGAGTAAAATATTTTTTAAACGACTTACTTAACCTTAAATTATAGCTTTTAGTCTAAGAAAAATTTATAAACTGAGCGAGAATGCTATTGCTTTTAATTTAATATGTGTAAAATACACTGTCTGGTCACTTTATTATGAACTGGTATTTTAATGAAACCTGTTTTTATGAAATTATTCTTCAGTAAAATATTTTTTAAACAACTTACTAACCTTAAATTATACCTACTTCGTAAATTCTTATATCACACTATTTAGTCATCTAGGACACCAGAACACGTCACGGAAGAAAAATATCTGATATATCGACATTGTTTCAGTAATAATTAACTAAAAATCCCAGAACCACTCTAATTGAATAAATATTGCTGTAAGACTTAAGGTATAATATTTAATAGCTAGAAATGGATTTTACGGTTAATTGGATTTTACGGATGATGCTCCCAAAGTGCCGGTACACTCTCATAAATAAAACTCTCCCTTTTGACCATTCAGCAATACTTGAGCTATATTTTTTTTCAATTTTGAGAATTATTTCGTTGCGAAATCATGTGGTATGTGAAAAAAGGGGAATTTTCAAATATCTGACAAAAATGTTTCCTTCACTTGAAACCTCATCGTAGTGCATAGTGGGAGATTGTTAGCTAGAATTAGGAAACCAGGATGAAGACTAGATAATACCGAAATGCGTGGATCCGCTGTATAGGACTCAAGGAATTGACCTAGAGCCAGGAAGAACTCGGGTTCGAATCCTGCCTCCGGCATAGGTGGAATTAATCTCTTTGTTCCAGACGTCTTTCTTGTGTTATTAGGGTGACTGTGACTCAGCTGTATGTTGAAAACCAAAGTGACAAAGTTCTTATTATATAAGTTTGATACATTAGACACCGTGAGTTTTATTTATTTATTATTTTTTTTAAAAGAATAAATAAATAAAATAGCAAAATTTGTTTTCCTGAAGAAATGACAGTTTGTCACTTTGATGAAATGTTCGCTTGGAGCATATATCAGGAATCGATTTCGTCAAAAGCAAAGAAAGTTTTGTGAAATTTGAGTGTCCATTTTCCACAGTGTCCTTATACCGTAAATTGATCTGAATTTTTTTACAACGTTTTGATGGTTTTTCAACGTGACGAGAAGTATTTTCAACTGGATACTGCGCCCTACCATACTGCTGGTGTTGTAATCTATTAATTAGAGAAACATGATATATACTGCTCTTTTTATTTGGCTGAATGTCCCTAGTTTTGTACCTTATAGAGCATTTGTAAGATAAAATCGAAAAAAAAACATTAATCTCACACTTTAGGAAAATACTATGAATGGGTCACTAACGGAGCATCACCATGCCAACAAAATTCAAATCCTAATTGGAACATGCTGGTCAAAGATGGCATTGAAGTGCTGGACATAATAATGTGGAAAGTCAATAATCATTAAAACTGAAAGACTGAAAATAGAAATTTAACCATTACAATATTTTTATTATAATTATTAAAATATTTATTGCAAAATGATTAAGTTGAAAAGGATAAATCTAATATGCGTTCTTTTAAATTCTATGTTAAAAGCATTCATGTCTAATTTCAAATCTTGGCATTTTAGTTCTTTAATGCTTCTTAGCAAAATATTTCTTAAAGTATTTTGTAATATAAGAGTCATATATAGTTAAGTAGTCTTGATTTCTTCTGTTTGGAGAATATTTTATATGAAAAGAGTTTTAAAAATGCTGAAAAAGTTTATGTTCAATTTATTATTTAACTATATTGAAGTATGCCATTTAATGATTGATTCACTGACATTAGATTTAGCTCAAAGTAATTCTGTAAATTTTAGTTTTTATGAGAATAACGACTATTTCCGAGCAAAAGATTTTATTTTTAATGTACTGCGCAAATAAAACAGTTAAAATGACGCATATCATGTTTCTCTACATCAAGTTTATTTTTTTTTAACTGGGCGAATCTAAATGCTACCTCCTAAATTTGCTGAAAAAGATATTTATGTCTATTAAAAGCCAACAACAAAATAAAGAAAATAAGAGTATTGAGAATTGAAGGTAAAAAATGAAAGAATTAAAAAAATGAAGCTAAATAATGTATTTTGTTCAATAAATTTAAAAATGAAAATAAAAAAACTAAAATAATTAATTAATCAATTTTGTCTGGTGTGTTGTTGGCAAAATATGATACATGAAGGTGTTGGGAAAAAAATATTTATCATTGCGATTTGCTTTTTCTTCGTTTATTTAATTTTTTCTTATTTTTTAATACTTTTGATTTGGACACCAAAGGAAGATAACAATATCTTCTTTTTAAGCTTTTTCAACTTGGCAAACGATATTTTCATCTTAAAAATTATATCATTGTGGGGAGTCATAAATAAGTGTGTACTTGATAATAACTGTAAATAAACATATTTCATACTTCGCTTGCTTTTTATATGGCCATTAATGCAATTACTTCATTAATATCAGACATGGTTAATGATTTCATACTTTTCCGGACGAATGTCGGTATTGTATGCAATTTCGGAATTGCAACTTTTCCGGTAACATACTTATTACGTTATTATTTCAATGAAATTGACATATTGTGTAGAAAAAAATGTTGAGCTAAATATATATTTTTCAGAAATCTAGTTTAAATTGCAAAGAATCTTATTTTTTAAAAATTGCAACACCAGAAAAGAATTATGCAAATTGAACCTAATTTGCATAAAATGTAAAGTGAGATAAAACATGGAAATTCTTAGAATTACAAAGCGATATCTCATGTACCACCATTTGTGCTTGTTTATTTGCCCACGAAGAAACAAAATTCCGAAATAATTACTGTACTGTATGGTAATGGCATTTTTAGAGAAAAAAAACAAACATATTTTTGGTTAATAAAACTGAAATATATGGTTTTTAAAACATTCATTAGGTAATTTTTTCGTTCACATCCTTACGGTATACTGAAAATTATGCTTTTCAAAATTATAGTACCAATTATCACACATTTAGTAAGAAATACAGAATTAAAAAATAAATTTTACCGAATAAATGATTTTAATACCATGCTCTAAGGTATCTTGATAAAATTTAAAATGTTTACTTTTGCCAAATTTTATCTTGTATTGTTAAACCATATTTTATCGTCAATTTTACCAAAATCCTTTTCTAGGCGATTCGGTTGAAATCATCCATTTCTGGTGTTCTCATCGAGCTAAAAACACAGTAAATTTTACCATATTCTAGTAGTTTTGACCAAATTGCTTTTCTCAGTGGAGTAATATGCAGAATAAAGTTAGTTAATTTCTGGAAACGTCTCCATGTTGTTGCAATTTTCACAAATATTAATGCATAAAAAAAGAGGAAAAAAAAAAGAAATTCTAAATTTATTTGAACTACACTATTTTTCCTACTTTTATGCGTAATTTTTCTGTACTGAACGTCAGAAATTCAGACTATTTTATTATTTCTATAGGTTTGAGCAGTGACGAATTTCAGTTTTCAAACAATGGGGATGGTCCCGCACGCTACAACATAATTCACTTCCGTCAGATTTCTCGTGGAAATTACAAGTGGATACGAGTAGGAGAATACAGAGATGGCGAATTGATTCTAAGCTTAGAAGACATCAGATTTAAATGGAACAAATCGGCAATACCAGTGTCTGCATGCAGTCTGCCGTGCGGGATTGGTCAAGCAAAAAAGTACGTAGAAGGTAGCAACTGTTGCTGGCACTGCTTCAACTGCACCAAGTACCAGATAATTCACGAAGAGACAGCCTGTCAGGACTGTAAAAAAGGTTACTTGCCAAACATTAACCATACAGCTTGCGAAGAAATTCCTTTACAGTACATGCAGCTAGACAGTTATTGGGCCATTGGAATCATGACCTTTTCTTCCCTGGGTATAGTCATGACTCTTTTTGTAGTAGCTGTTTTTTTGAAGCACCACAACACCCCAGTTGTGAAAGCCTCAGGTCGTGAACTCAGCTACGTTCTTCTGGCGGGTATATTGCTTTGTTATGCAATAACTTTTTTACTAGTGCTGAAACCATCTGATATTAAATGCGGCGCACAGAAGGTTGGTATAGGTTTCTGCTTTACAGTTGTGTACAGTGCCGTTTTAACTAAAACTGATCGCATCAACAGGATTTTCAGATCAGGAGCGAAGACTAAGAAGAAACCGTCTTTCATCAGCCCGCAATCGCAACTTTTAATTTGTGGTGCCATTGTCTGTGGTCAAATAGTGTTGTCAGTGGTGTGGATGATTGCGAAACCACCAAAGGCGATATACTATCATCCATCTAGAGACGTGAGCCACTTTGTGTGTACTGCTTCTATAGACGCTACTTACATTGTAGCATTTGCATATCCAATGCTATTAATTCTTATTTGCACTGTGTATGCAATACTCACGAGGAAGATTCCAGAAGCATTTAATGAATCCAAGTTTATTGGTTTTACAATGTATACCACTTGTATCGTTTGGTTAGCTTTTATACCTTTGTATTTTACAACAACAGACCATAATGAGATCAATGTTTTCACTATGTCAGTGACAGTTAGCCTTAGTGCAACCGTGACACTTTTCTGCCTTTTTACGCCAAAATTGTACATAATTCTTCTCCATCCAGAGAAAAACGTCAGGCAACCCTTGATGAATACTGGAAAATACTGTGGTGCTAATGGTAATCGGGTGGCTTCCAGTACTGCTGAGCGGTCTACAATTTCCGAAGGTAAAAATTTGTTATTCCTTTTTCCTTTAGCTGACATTCATATTATGCTTTAGAAAATTTGCAGTACATTCGAAAGAGCCAGAGCATTCTCCTTCCAATGAGGTGAACCGGATTCGAATCCCAGCAATGGTTGGTCGATACAAAATCCGCATCTGGGATGCACCGACCACAGTGCTGACATAAAACATCCCCAGTGGTAGATGGATCATGAGTAAGAATCTCCTTATCGCTAGGCTAACCGTGGAAGGTTTTCGTGGTTTTACTCTCCATGTAACGCAAAGGCAAATTCCTCCCAATACTTGATTCAGGAGTTCCCTTGTCTTCTGAATTTGGTTCAAACTTACAAAGCCACGGAGTTGAACTTTAGTAGCCTTAACCCGAAAATTGGGTCGGCTGCTGTACGGTTGTAAAACGACCGTTATAAAATAAATTAAAAAGCATTCTAAAAGTATCATTGCTGTCAGGGTAACCGTGGGAGGTTTCCGTGGTTTTCCTCACCATGTAACATATGCGGTTTAGTTCCATTAAAAAGTCCCCCCTCGACGGCAAATTTCTCTCAATATTTGATCCATGAATTCCCTTGTCTTCTGGATTGGATTCTAAATTACAAAGCTATGGAGGCAAAATTACAAGGCTCTGAAAAATAACTACTAATGAACCCAAAAAATTGTGTTGGCAGCCAACGGCGGTTATAAAATAAAGTAAATACCTTGTTAAAATAATAAAAAAATATTGTTATTCCAAAAAAAAAATATTTAATGAAGAACACTTTTAATTTTTTTATTTATTACGAAAAACAACTAAGTATTTGTTATTTAAATGGGAAATTTTGAAAGAATGGGACTCGATTATGATAATTTTATGAAAGCACTAGTGCATGTTATAGACATTTGGATTGAGATTGGATTATGATAACTTGATTACACCAAAAATATTAACAGCACAAAAATTGAACTTTTTCGAAACTAGGTAAATAAAATATATTTATTTCTTACAGTTACATTTTTAACAAATTTTAACTGAATTTTAGAGCATCAAATTATTTTAAATAGTAAATTTGTGGGAGAATCTGCAAGTGTTGCGTGTATCAATGATTTGGACAATCCTAAGCTTCCTGTGAAAGATAATGAGATTTTGTTATAGAAAACATTTCATGAAAACATAAGAAAATAATTTTTAACTTAAAAATTATTTCAAGAGTGAATTAATAAATTTAAAGTGCTTACTTTGATATATTTTCTAATGAAGTAATAGTGTGGTATTTTCTTTTTGACCAGTATGAAAATTCTAGATTACATTTTCTATGAATCTTCCACGCAGTAAAATAGATGTGATGAGGGTTACAGTCCCTGGTCTGCAAGATTCTATGTAAAATCTTAGTTATCAGCTGATACTCTTTACAGCTTTATTGATTTTACGAAACTGGTTTGCACTTGATTGCGTTCGTATTCCAATTGGTTAACATCGATACGTTAAAAATAAATACAAATAGTAAGTATATAAAAAATCCTCCGAATAAAAACCCATTACATGTAAGTTTAAATATGAAAGTATTGCATATAAACTCGTGCAAAACATGTCATTATTAAAACACTTCAGTGACGTCTAATAATATTTTCTAATTATTATAATATACTAATATAATACCTGATATAATAAATATTCTTTCTTCTTCTCACTGGAACGACAGCCCAGGATGGGCCTTGGCCTTCTCAACAAGCCAATGCCAAGACATTCTTCCCTTAGCCAAGGTTCTCCAGTTTATTATCCTTAAAACTTGTAGGTCCTTTTCAAGGCTGTCTAAAAATCTTAGGTTTGGCCGTCCTCTTTTTCTTGTACCTGTTGGCCTGGCACTGAAAACTTTTTTGGTTGTCCTGCTATCCTCCATTTAATCCTTTGAATTTTGATACATTTAATGACATCAGGTTCTTTGTATGCTTTGTAAGCTACAGCTTACAGCTTTTACTTATTGCGTAAAAATGCTTCGCTGTATTTTTTATATAATATATCGTCTAGTATATAAATACTAATACTAGGCAGTATAATAAATATTCTATCTTTAAATAATATATCGTCTCATTTTTTCAATTGTCGAATTCATATTATATATCGTCTCATTTAACCCTTTGATAGACGAACGTAAACAAGTGCAAACCGGTTTCAGTAGCATAAAAACCATAAAGCTGTATAGAGTAATCACCTGATAATTAAGATTTTACATAGAGTGCGTCTAATAATTTGGTCAAGGGACTGTACATCCTGAATGACTTTTTAATAATAATTTATTGTTCTAATTTCACGTAGATTGTAAACAACATGGAGGTACACTTTCATAAGCAGTCGTATAATCACACTGTTAATAATTTGGTAAAAATTGAAAAACAAGGTTTTAAAAAGGAAATGGCTATTGCACGGCATGCGATGCCTATTAAATTTCCTATTTACCACTTTTATTTTCAGAATTTATGAAAAAATATGATAATACAGTAGAAATTCTATGGTTTTCTTACCTATTTTGATATTAACTTTTGCTCTGCATTCTTTCAATTAACCATTATTCGGCATAAGTAAACACACGTCTTCCTGGGGGGCTGGTGGTGGAGACCTATTTACATAGACCCCATCCAATTTTCTATGGTAGAAATATAACACATTTGATGTTATTTATTTTCTAAACAGAAAATGATTTTGTGGAATGATACACTTTTGCGATTAGGGATTTCATTAAGTAATTAGTGATTTCACATTACGATTAGTGATTTCATATTTAGAATAAAAACTTCATATTACTTCACTCTTTAAAAAATTCAAGGAAGTATAACTATTTTTTTATCAAGTTTGTTAAAAGAATAAAGTTCAAAATAAATAAATAATTTTTTTGGAAGCATTAAACTAAAACAGAATAACAGCGAGAATCATCTTCTTTTTTGTGATTTGCTTTCATAGCACCATAGAAGGAAATATCGCTACGTCCGTAAGTAGTTTATTCGAACCATTTCATCACCATATTAAAACTATGGTTATTAAAATTGATTCATCTGAAATTTCGTTTCATGCTATCAAATAAATTAAATGGAATAATGATTTTCAAGTCGATTGATTTACGTTAAACAAGTGTTTCTTACTATAGTGAAATACTCCATAACAAATTAGTATTTTAATTAAAATGTGATCAATATTTATTCTCCAATATTGTTTAGATTGAATTAGATTTCATTTTGACTTTAGATATACCTTTTTGAGTGAGTTTAAAGTACATTACCACTTAATAAGTTACCAAGTTTTTTACAACCACCGTTGAACAGACGACCCAATTTTGGGTTTACGACTACTAATAGTAATCCATAGCCTGGTAATTTTGAACCCTATTTAGAAGAAATTTGCCTCCGTGGAGGATTTTTTCGATGGTTTAGGTTACGTTACATGGATAGGGAAAACACGAAAACCTCCAACGGCTAGCCTGATGGCAAGGGGACTCTAATCCACGAACCGTCTACCACTAAGGATATTTTTACGTCAGCGCTGTAGTCGGTGCGAGCCGGGTGCGGAATTCGTATAGACCAGTCATCGCTGAGATTCAAACCCGGTTCACCTCATTGGAAAACGAACGCTCTTTCCCCTGAGCCACCACGACTCAAGTTACCAAGTTTGTCTGCACTAGCCCCATAGCATGTTCGCATTAACCCCGTGTTGTGTGGCTAGTGGGGTTTTCATAGCACCCGAAATATAGCTGAGCTACGTGCTCCGTTTACTGCCCACTCGTGCCATTTCATCATCAAGTTAAGTACTATCTTTATTAAAATTGATTCTACTTTAAATTAACCCTATGATATAAAATAAAACAAATTGAATAATGATTATCAAATATTTATTTCAAATATTGGTATTGATTTTCGTTTAAAATGCCTTTCCTAGGAAATGCTCTATTTCAAATGAGAGTTTTAATTAATATGTGTGAATATTTATTCTCCTGAAAGATTTCGATTGAAATTGATTTCATTTAGATATACCCTTCTCAGATGAAAATAAATTACTAATTAATAAGACACCGAGTATGTTCATACTAGCCTCATATCTTCCGTAGATTAGCGCCTTATAGAGGAACTAGTGTCGACAGAAACTGCCTCATTTAAAAAAAAAATTATGAAAAGAACTAAACATTATTGTTATTAAAGATATCAACAGGTAATTGTCAAAAAAATACATCATGAGTTAAAAATCATATTAAATATGTTTTTCGACAAATGAGCAATCAATATCTACACTAGTCTCCCTCTTCCTTATAATTTTCAATTGTTGTAATTTGTTAATAATATCATATAGACATATAGCAATAAAGGAAACGAAGGAAATAAAAATAAAAATATGACAACCGAAGTCGACGTCTTCAGGAGGTACCGGCCCCGGTAGCCATAAGACAAAACCTTTTCTATTGAGAGAGAGGGCAAATGCCTAAATTAACTCCCTCAGTACCCCGAAGGTTTTGTATAGAAGTCCAGGAAAAAAACATGAAATACATAGAACCAATTCAGAAAAGAAACTCAAACAAAATCATCAGAAATTAAAAACTCAAATTAACAAGGTCAAACAACGATTTCACAAGCAAACCAAATGTAAAGGAAATACTTAAAACAGAAGAAAACAACGCCCTCTTTTAAAATGAGCAGTTTGAAAAAAAGAAGTCAAAGAAAAGATTACGTAACATATTAATAGAATGCTTGACTGGGGCTGCTCAGTTAAGACATGAATTACGCCCTGTTAAAAGAAATAAAAAAACTAATATTCTTCAATCATTTTCTTAATCAAAAAATTAACTTTATAAAAATTAAAAGGAAAATCATTATTACTCAAATTATTCAAAAAATTATTCACTGTCTCCCAAAAACTCTCCACGTTATTGCAAATTTTTTTAATCCTAACCAACTGTGAAAAAATTAAAATTTCAAAAATTTTATTGCACAGATTAGCGTTGAAGTTGCTAAAAAATAACTTAAAATTTAAAAGCTTTTCCTTTATCAAAAACACCAATTTTAATTATTTTGTCAAGAATATC